TAAGTCAGCACTGTTGCTCCAGCCCAACAAGACAGGAGAGATCTGTGTGTGGAAGTGGGCTTCTGCAAGTGCATCTGATGCTCGTGCAGGTGCTCCTTACAGAGCTTCTCCAGCTCCCATGAAATGGACTGTATGCATCTTTGGATGGAGGTGCTTCCATCATCCTCATTTGGGACTGCGAGTACTTGTCTAGAGCAAGACAGAAAGTGGTATATTGATGTTCTGCAGTCAGCTGTCTCTGCCCAAGGACCAAAGGCCAGTTCATAGATGGCCCCCCAAAAACTTGCCTTTGAGAATGGTGTTTCTGTGCTTGGCTGATTCCTGGCTTCCAATAAAAGAGACTTTCAATAACAGACTGTTCTTGTCTAATTTGCGTTTCCCCCCCCCCATGGCTTACCCTGCTCTGCCTCATCAGACCACTGTAGTAGCGACCACCTGTGCTAGCAGAAAGAAAGAAAAAGAAAATTATCTTGAAGCACAACGGGCTCCCATATTAGGAATGATATAGCTGTTTATTCAGTAGATGGTCAATAAAATACTCCATAAAGCACAAAGTCTTGTTAGACTTACAGCTGTTCTGGCCCAGATGCCAGAGAAAGCCAGCCTCTCTTTCTGCAGTCCTGCTACTAGAAACTGTTTTCTGTTCCTTAACACTCGGAGCAGAAAAGCTGAGCAAGTTCACCCACGTAGGCTTGGGCTAAAGAATCACTCAGACCAGCCAGTCAACTAATTTAAATTACCTCTAGCTTCAAGATTTGGTGCACTGTGACTTTGTTGCCTCTGTGCCATAAGACCTAACCCCCAAACTTCCTAGATTCTGACTTGATTGCCTGTGTACTTGCAGTGTTTCTATAACTTCTGCTTTGCCCATTCAAGTGGTGATTTCAGTGGATTGGGCAAACTGTATGTTCTGCAAGATGGTGGTAGGCCTCTTGAAAGAGAACTACTCTAGCATGAGCAGTGGCAGGAATTTGTCATGAGTTCACCATTCCAAAATACTGTCAACTCTTTCAAAGGCCTTTGGCAAGAATGATAATTGTCCCTCTTTGCTATAGCTGTGAGATGCTGGCAAAAGCCTTCCCTGGCTGCACTGAGGAGTGAAGGCTGGTGGAACATTAGCACAGCCTGAGCCTGTGTTAGACACCTGGAAAAAGAGGCCCTAGGTCTGCGGAGCACTGATGCAGCAGCTGCTTCCCCCCTCTAGCTGCCTTTCCACACAGCGAGTTATTTCATGCTGAGCTTTCATTATGCTGCTTCACTCAAGGGGAAAGAGGACATGAATCTCTGAAAGATTGCTTGGCAGCCTTTTACTACTTGAGCTGGATAAGTTTGAAGTACCCATATACAGCCGCATGCCACAAAACTGGCCCAGTGTGAGTGATTCTGGTGCTAGTGATACAATGTGATACAAGAACAGAGAAATGGTGGATAAAACAGAAGTCCAGTGTGGTGATGGGTATGTTCTTATTATGGTTGCCAACACCCAGGTATGAGCTGGGGAACCCCGCTTTTGGGGACTTTTCCCCGCCGCAGACCAGCTGGCCGGCAGGGGGAACTCTGCTCCTAAACCCCATATGTAAAAGCTGTAGGCGTAGGAGAGCGGCATGGATTGGCCAGCAGATGGGTAGCTGCTCTCACTCCAGAATAATTAGATAAGAACTAGGGTTGGCAGGTCCACTCATCAGGCCGACGGGGATTTTTGGGAAGGGGGCGTTCCAGGGGGTGGGCAGGGACATCTCACAACACAGTCACCTCGAAGTGATATCATCGTGCTGGGAATGCTCTGATTTTGGGACAAAACTCTATGGTCTGAGGGCAAATTTACCATAGAATTTCACCTCAAAACCGGAGCGTTGCCCCTGGCATTGCTGACGCGATGATGTCATTTCTGGGTGATGTCAGTGCATCATGTGACATCCCTGCCCACCCCTGGAATGCCCCCCAAATCCCCCCCACCAGTTCCCTATTTCTTATCTAATTTTTCGGGAGTGAAAGCAGCTACCATCCACTGGCCAATCCATGCTACTCTCTTGTGCCTACTGCTTTTATGTGTGATGGGGCCCCCACCCCCAAGGGGTTGTGTCTAGCCAGTTTTGTGATATGTAAGCATGTTCCTAAAGTTTCCAGTCTCTGGAGTAGTTTCGTTATCGACTGTCTTCGGAAGGGCAAAAATCAGTTGGCTGCAATATGTGCAGATGTATCTTAGTGAGTATTTGCAGAGGAAAAGGTAAGAGATGTCGAATGCACACAGTGAACAAGACAATGGCTTCTCTTGAAATAGTTTTAAGTACAGGGATGAAAACTGTTTGCAGCCAATAGCAGCAGTCCCTGCCTACTAAGTGTTTCTCTTCTCTGATGTGGCCATCCAGAATTTGCTACTTACAAGCCAGGGATCTGTTTCTAATCTTTAGTGCATTGACATGTTCCAGCGTCGTCTTAAGGAGCAAAAAGATATATTCCCTCTGAAAACAAACAAACATTCTCATTTCACTTAGTCCTAGGAATGTTTTGAACGGCAACAACAGTATTTGTATGCGGCCCATTTAGCTAATGTCAACGTGTTAGGTTAGGTTAGGCATTTTGAACTGTCCTGTCTCCAGGTGGAACGTTTGCAGTCATGCGGGTGACTTCCATTGCAGCGTTCTTCTTTTAAGCCCCATCTCGACTTGAAACACAAGGATATGCAGTAACTTGTTTGTAGGGTCATTATTCTAGCTGTGCATTGTATATTCACAGAGGGCCAGTGCTGGGTAGGGATGTTCCTGGATCCTCTCACTCCAAGATAAGAGTAGCAGACTAGTTGAAGGGTTGATTGTCTGTAGGATGCTGTCACTTTATCCTCCCCTGCTGATCAGTTGCACTTGTTGTTGTAGGTAAAGTCATGAAGCTGAGTCCCAAAGCAGAAGAAGTTGCCACGTTTTTTGCAAAAATGCTTGATCACGAATACACTACAAAGGACATCTTCAGGAAAAACTTCTTTAAAGACTGGCGAAAGGTACAGCATCGTGGAAGCGTAGGGTTTGCTTTAGAGTTAAAGCTGGTTGCCATCTGCCTGGCTGTCTGTAGTGAGTAATTCTAAGGGAGTAGCAGACGCCTTGTCCTTACTTGGTACCACATTGAACCCTTGGGGTGCTGCATTAACATTCTGCTTTTCAAACTGCTCCGTTCACCTTATTGGAACAGGGTTTTGCTTATGTTTTGCCTGTCCGGTTTCCCAACAGCCATCCCTTGTTTTGAGCCATCAAGCCCAAACTGTGCTGGCTTGAAATTGCCAAGGAAGAAGAGAAAGTGATCTGGGGAGGGATGGAGAGAGCATGCAATAAACAGTTTGGTTAGAAGAAGGGAGAGGAAAACTTCATACAATGGGAAAGGGGAGAAAAGTGTGAAGAATCTACAGGCCTGTAGATTTGAGTCTTTGAGGATGCAGGAGGGGCAGGAGCAGAAAGAATGTCAAGTCAGGGCAAGAGAGGTGAAAGCTTCAAGTCGTTTTTGTAATTTACATCTGGGTGCTGGATTGTATTCAGTGTCCCCATGCCATGTGGTGAATAGAAAATGTCTTTGTTTATATTTGAAGCTATTTTTGTTTCATTCGTTTTTGCATGTTTAGAAGTCGATTGCTTAATTCCATTCCTGTTTGTCCCTCCCAGGGTAGTTTCTATTAAGCAGTAGTTTGAGACTCTTAAGAAAGCTTCCTAAAATCCTGGAAATTAACCCAGGCTTGGGGGGGGGGGGCACATTTAAGGCTAGATCTGAATGTACATGAGTGTGGTGGAGACATCAAGCCTCATACCTGTCATTGTGTTCCGAAGCTGAGAAGTGTTTCGAGGACTGCCAGTTATGTGAGAGAAAAGAGGCAGTTCTGTTGAATTAACCAGTGGTACCTCATTCTGCCTAACACTTCCTTAATGAGGTGGTCTTGCTTCCCCCCCCCCCCCCACATTTTTTTCTTGGCTGTGGTGGTGGCTTTTGCTCTATGGCCCTAAAGCAAACTGGGAAACCTTTGTGTTAATTGTCTTTGTCAGAGGTATGCACTGCTGGAACTCTGTGGGCTAAGCTCGTGTGGTGTAGTGGTCAGAGTATCAGACTGGGAAACCCAGGTTTGACTCCCCACTCACTGGGTGACTTTGGGCCAGCCATACATACATAACTCAGCCTACCTACCTCACAGGGTTGTTTTGAGGATAAATTGGAGGAGAGAAGACAGATGTAAACCACTTTGGGTCCCCATTGGGGAGAAGGGTGGGATAATTAATACTGAAATGAATATATCCAGTACACTAACTACATAGATAACCTGAGTTAGTGAGGTGCCCGGGCTTTCTTCTATTCATAGATGACGGAGGAATGGGAGAGGTATGATCACTACACATCAAGAGCAGCTGTGCAGCATGTAGGCCTGGATGAGGGAAATCCAAGGTCAGATCCTCATTTGGCCTTGAAGCTTCCTTAGATGTCCTTGAATGAGTCATTTCTCAGTTTAACTGCTTAGGGTAACTTCTGGTAGTCCTGTGTACATCACCCTCTCCTTGGAGGTAGGGCATTGAGGGCCTTCGCTTCCTTTTCTTAAAAGCAGGGAGAAAGAAAATCTCACGTGTCATGGTCAGTGTGTCGCAAAAGCTCAGTAGTTAGCAAAAAGGTGTTTCCGGAATCCAAGGGTGTGACTTGGTTCAGTAGGGCAGGAGTTCTGAGATGCCTCCCCTCCAACCCTTTGTCTGTTTTCATCTGTCCACCCCATTCCTCATCCACAAATGAGTGCAAATTTAGTCTTTCAAAGAGTCTTGTAAGCAGCATTAAATGATATTAATATATTTGAAATGCAGCACTGTGACTGCAGGGTTTGCTTCTCTTTGGTGCATAATACAACTTTATGTTCATGATGTTGCATTTACATTGTACAGTGAAGCACGCTGCATTGATCAATGCCAGGAAGACTCCAATATGCAACCTCAAAAACTCTTTATCCATTCTTTCTCTGTATACTCTTCTCCTGGAGTTAACCTTTATTATTATTTTGCAGTTCTTCTTTATAATGGCAACTTCCAAACTGAATTTACAGAGAAGTAGGGTCAAATGCAGTCCCTTTCCTCTAACTCTTAAGAATGCTGTTAAGGTATAATTTTTTTTCCCTTTCAGGAAATGACCTCAGAAGAAAAGAGTACCATTACTAGCCTCAGCAAGTGTGACTTCACCCATATGAGTCAGTATTTCAAAGCTCAGACAGAAGCCAGGAAACAGATGACCAAGGAGGAGAAACAGGTATCTTGACTTAGAAAGGAGTTGTTTCCCCCCCATAAGAAACAAAGCCCTGACCGGGATAGCCCAGGCTAGCCCAATCTCATCAGATCTTGGAAGCTAAGCAGAGGTGGCCCTGGTCAGTGTTTGGATGGGAGACCTCCAGGGAATACCAGGGTCACAATACGGAGCCAGGCAATGGCAAACCACCTCTGAACACTCTTGCCTTGAAAACCCCACGGGGTTGCCATAAGTCAGCTGCAACTTGACAGCAAAAAACAAACAAACATAAGTTATGATCAGAATGTTTTCTTTCTGTGACACCTGTTCTTAGTCCTCTGGATCAAATAATCATCTCCATTGCACTGAGTAGATTAACTGAAATCTCCTGATCTGGCAAAAGCTTGCCGCTGCCTAAGGCTTCAGAGGTTGAAGGTGTTTGATCCCTGCTAATATGCTTCAGCCGACTTGGGCTTTGTTTTGGGGCTGTGTTCTTTTTCATGGTGTCACAGGTAACACTCAGTAGAAACCTTAATAAGAAACTGGCATTTCTTACAAATCTCTAGGCTTGTGTGTTACCTATAAAAAAACTTTTTCATCTCCCTCCCCCCAGCTTTTTGGTGTTTCTTGGTTGATCTCTTTGCTGTGCTGATGTTGTCATATGAATAGCTGTGGATTTCAGTAAGAGCTTATAATACTTCTGTTTGGCATCTTCCAGTAATGATTTTTGAGTCACTCGGCCTTGGAGAAGCAGGGGGAATGCATTTCTCATTTATTTTAAAGCCCTGGAATGCCAGGACTTAAAATTTTCCCAGTGGAGGTTGAGATCAAGGAATAGTCTTGCAGCTTTTATATATTCATTTTCCCTCCTCTTGTTAAGATTGGAATAGAAGTAGGGCATATTCTTGTTTTAGTGTTTGGTAGCAGCATAAGCGATGCCTACAGGAGTGCAGATGCACTCTTGGCAGGGAATTCTCTGCCTCTTGGTCCTGTGTTAGTGCCATTTCACACATGACCCAGTGGCAAACCTGTCTTGGTCGCTGTGCATGGACTCAGTGAGGAGCCACAGTCAACAGGAGAAACTCTTTATCTTGCACGTCCAGCTGATCCCAGGGAAAATGTAGAAACCCTGAACTGGTGCCTGGAGCCGGTTTTAGCGTGGATGTGGGCTAATATACTGAGGCTTAATCCCAGCAAGACAGAAGTGCTGCTGGTGGGCAGAAAATCTGGCCTGGGGTTTAGGGTGTTACCCGTTCTGAATGGGGTTGCACTCCTTGAAGGGCGCTCTTGGACCCAGGCCGACTGCTGGATAAGCAGGTGGTAGCTATGACCAAGAGTGCCTTTTACCAGCTTCGACCGGTTTTAGCCAGCTGCACTTTTTCCTGGACAGAAAAGATCTGGCTGTTGTGGTACCCTGGTCTCATCCAGATTAGATTACTGAAATGCGCTCTATGTAGTGCTGCCCTTAAAGCAGTGTTTGCTGCAGCCAGGTTGTGGAATGGAGTGGGTTGGAGGAACCTTATCACATATCACTCCAGTGATACTTACCCTGGCTTCCAATTTGTTTCTAGGCCCAATTTAAAGTGCTGGTCTTTACCTGCAGAGCCCTAAAAGGTTTGGGACCAACATGGCTTAGGGACTGCCTAATCCCTTATGAGCCCGCCCGGTCATTATAGTCCTCTTCGGAGGCCCTACTTCGGGTGCTCCCACCTCCTGAGATTAGGCAGTAACCAATGTCTTTATGTTTTGTATGTATTCTAACTTTTTAATGTGTTACAACTCTTTTTTTACTCCTTTTAAAGTTGTTTTAAAGATGTATGATTTTATATTTTTATCACGATGGTTTTATAATGTATGTTTTGTATTATGATGGTTTTATAATGTAATTTTCTCAGGCGTGTTCTAAATTGTTAGCCGCCTTGGCAGCCCTTATAAAGGCAGAAAGGCAGGATACAAATTTTGTAAATAAATAATACCTGAAGCCTTTCCTTCCTCTGAATTCTTGCTAACAAAGAAATCTAGAATTTGGGGGCGGGGGGACGGGACTTGTTCATATGGTATTAATTTGCAGTCTTCGTTCTCTGAATATTTTAATGTCTGAATCTGGATACGCACATTACATCCACTGCAGGTACAACTGATCATGCTATGGAAATTTACAGTCCCTTCCTACAAATTGTAGCCTGTAAGGCTTTGGGGAGCACAGCCACTTTATTTGCCCTGAATTTGCAACTGACTTTATGAAATGCCTCTCACAGTCAGGGTCTCAGAACACAACTTGAATGCAGCTTAATTGAAATCATTGTGATGTTGGTGCTGAATAATTTATGTAGTGGCTTTGGGTGTGTTGTAATTATTTTTCCCCCCTTTTCTGCCCTCCCTAGAAAATTAAAGAGGAGAATGACCGATTATTAAAAGAATATGGTTATTGTGTCATGGATAATCACAAGGAACGAATTGCCAATTTTAAGATTGAGCCTCCAGGTCTCTTCAGAGGGCGTGGCAATCATCCCAAAATGGGCATGCTGAAAAGACGGATAATGCCCGAAGACATCATCATCAATTGTAGCAAGTGAGCATGGCAGTGTTTATAATGCTAGCTAAGAAATACTTCTAGTTCAAGCTCGCTGCCCCAGATAGCCTCTTTGTCATGGAGAGTCTGATGTTTTCTGTCCAGGATGTCTGTCTTCAGCGTATCTTCAGTGGGAAATGCAGGACTTGAATGCCAGTTCATACCACCACCAAAATGTGCCTTTAGTGTCTTTGTTCACAAAAGTCATCATGTCATGACTTTGCTTTGTAATGGGCATACCTGCACACTTGCAAAAGTCTGGTGCTGGGGTCAGCCAGTGTTTGTATCAGTTTAGTGAATTTAGGAAATAACTTGTGGTCTGCAGTGACTGATAAGGAATAAAGTAAGCAGTTCATTATGCAAACAAGCTGGGATTTCTGAAAAAAAGTAACTTTGGGAGGAAGGGTAAAGACTGGGAACTTAATACAATTTGCTGTGTTGGTATCATAAATCATAGTGACTAACACACACATTAAGGGTTTGGTGAGAAAATTATCCCAAAATCGTTTTTGTTTTTAAAAGGCCATGGCATTATTTCTTGCTAAGGCAATGTGAACTCAGCTTGCTTTCAGGTTTCTGTAGCAGAATCAAAGCGAACCTTTCAGTTCTTCAACCATGTAATGATTTCTGGTTTCCCCCCTGATGTATTTTGCCTTGTGCAGGGATGCCAAAGTTCCTCCTCCTCCCCCTGGACATAAATGGAAAGAAGTCCGGCACGATAACAAAGTGACCTGGCTGGTGTCATGGACGGAAAACATTCAAGGATCTATTAAATACATCATGTTGAACCCCAGCTCTAGAATCAAGGTGATGATTTGTCTGAAATTCTGCAGACTATTCCTTTGCACCAAATATGCTTTAGGAGAGGAATTGTTCCTAATGGAGGGTCCAAAAAGTACTCTATTCTCTTTGTGATACTGCAGCTTGCGTGGTATAATCTTGAATGCTTTTTTTTCATGTGCCCTTCTGAAATAAGTAGCAGCAATGGGAAGAATGGAGTAATCTCTGTAAAACAGCCTCAAGGATGTCTTGAAAAAGTACTCCAGATGGTGCATCATTTCCAGACTACAGTTTTCAAACACCAGAGCGAGCCATCATGATATTTTCTTTGTGATTGTCTCTGCAGGGTGAGAAAGACTGGCAGAAATATGAGACGGCTCGGAGACTGAAGAAATGCGTAGATAGGATTCGAAATCAATATCGAGAAGACTGGAAGTCCAAAGAGATGAGAGTGCGGCAGAGGGCTGTTGCACTGTACTTCATTGACAAAGTGAGGATGAGTCATTTTTGCAGCTTCTGCCATTTTTAAAACTGAGAGGCGCAGGGCTTCCGGCCTTAGCTTTTGGCCTTCTGAAATCCTGGGCCAGAAACAAAGTAAGATTCCAAAGTTCAGATGTACAGAGAGCGTCTAGAAGAGTTGGCAGTACCACTGAACTGAATTCTCAATAAGTGTCCAAAAGATGCTTCCCTGTGAAGGGCTGGGTAGCTTGCTCTGAAAAAAAGGAGTACGTTGTGATTTTAACTCCTATGTAAATGAATTGGGTCAGCAGGCTGCCCACATTTCCAATGAGCCTTGGCCTTGAGCAATTACTAAAAGACTTCCAGTGTCTATACAAGCAGTCCTTGGCTGTAGTTCATCCAGGGTGCCTGGGAGTACAGATGGGCCACAAGTCAGCCCTCCCCTACTCTGGAGAGGTTCCTTCCACCCTACTGAACATAGCCGGTTGTTGAGACAAAGTGCAACATTTGAGTTTAGTGGTTTTACTTGGTAAGGGATTTATAATCCACTTTTCGGTGGTAATATTTCTGAAATAAGGCATGATTAACAGTTCAGAAAAAACAGTTCAAAAAAAATAAGGCATGATTAACAGTTCAGAAAAATCTGGTACACAATAAAACAAATGGTAACAGATTATAACCAGTAAGAAGTCAGTCAATGTAAACCAAAGCTGTACTCCGTTTCAAGCCTGAAGAATGAAATTCAGATTCACAATTTAGTCCTCAAAGGTCTTTATGAACAGGTGAGTCCTTGAGGCCTTCTTAAAACTACTCAGATCAAAACTCAAAGCTGGTTCTGCACTGTGGGAGCAACAATGGAGAATGCGTGTTTAGCCACTGCCACAAATTGAATATGAGCTGGTATTACCAATACATTGTCTCATACAGATCTTAGTGAGTGAGAAGGAATGTATGATAGGAGCCACTCCCCTCTGTTAATCCACGCTAAAACGATAAAGATTTTGAGTTCAGTTGAATTTGTAGGTATCTTGAATCTCAGCTTTGGAATTTGAATAGGCAATATCCCGGCGCAAGCTCTGAAGCCCTCCAGTGGATAACCACCGGTGCTGTTAAAAATGCTTCCTTCTGTTTTGATTGCTATTCAGGCCATCTTCCAACTCAATCTGTCTCTCTTGCTGTTTTATATCTGTAGCTCGCTCTAAGAGCTGGTAATGAGAAAGAGGAAGGGGAGACGGCTGACACAGTGGGCTGCTGCTCCCTCCGTGTGGAGCATATTAATTTACATCCAGAATTGGACGGCCAGGAATATGTGGTAGAGTTCGACTTCCTTGGGAAAGACTCCATCCGATACTACAACAAGGTCCCTGTTGAAAAAAGGGTAAGGGTTGTGTTCCCCGCCCCCCACTGTATTGTTTAAGATAGGGATAATGTCTAGATTGTAATAGCCTTATGGATTTAAGTTCCTTCGACTGTGAACTTCCTTCCCCTTCTGGTAGCTCGTCAGACCTTATCTGGTGTGTGTGTGAAGTGCTTATTTGCACATAAAAAGAGCCCTGCTGGCTCATAGCAAAGTTTAATTGCTCAGCCTCAAGTTTCCAACAGGGCGAGCCAGATGCTTTTACTCCGTGTTTGTGGGCTTCCCGGAGGCAACAGCTCTCCTTCATTATCTTTAAAGGTATACTGCTGCAGAACATGGAGGTTCCATTTAGCTACAGTGGATATGTCTAGCAGTTGATGTCTTTCATAAATTTGTTGTCCTTATAAGACAAAAACAAAAAAAGCTATCAGAATCTGCAACCATTGCTGCATCTTGTGGCAGTGAATTCCACAGGTTAATCTAGCACTATGTGAAGAAGTTGGATTTTCTTTGTTTGTTTTTTGGTCCTGAATCTACTGCCAATACATTTTGTTAGCTGACCCCAAATTCTAAAACAATAAGAATGAAAAATTTCTTTTTCCACGTATTCATGATTTTATAAATCTGTCAAGCTCTCTCCACTCCAGTGCCAGTTGTGTGGATTCCCCCCCCCCTCCTTAAGCTAAATACTACCAAATGCCTTAAATTTCCCTTGTAGGGCAGATGGAGGGTTGCTGGGGTTTTTTTTGCATTCCTCAGAGAAGAATGATGGCTGGGGTGTGTGTATGTGTGTGTGTGTGTGTGTGTGTGTGTGTTAAGTGCTCTCAAGTAGCTTCTGACTTCTGTGTCCCTGTGAATTAATGACCTCCAAAACGTCCTATCAGTAACAGCCCTGCTCAGGTCTTGCAAACTGAGGGTCGTGGCTTCCTTGATTGAGTCAATCCATTTCCTGTTCTTCCTCTTTTCCTGTTTTCAACTTTTCCTAGTATTATTGTGCTTTCCATTGAGTCCTGAAAATATGACCAAAGTATGATAGCCTCATTTTTGTCATTTTAGCATCTACGGAGAGTTCAGACTTGATTTAACCTAGAACCTACTTATTTGTCTTATTGATGGTGTACTCCTTCCTATCCATTGCTAGCAGGATCCACAAGCATGCATTCTGTAGGTTAATAGAATTCAGTGCCTCTTAAGCTAGGTGTTCATGTAGGTACATGGGAACTAGTAAGGAAGAATTTGAACAATTACCAAACCACCTGTTTCCTTTGTTTCCTGTTGCAATGGAGTCTTGTCTTTACCTGGTTTTTGTTTGATAGGTTTTTAAGAATCTTCAGTTGTTCATGGAGAACAAGCAGCCTGAAGATGACCTCTTTGACAGGCTCAACGTAAGTTCCTGCTGGGTTTGGAAGCCCCACATTTCCATAAACGGCCTTGCCACAGCATCAGTTGGCTAGTTTGTGGAGTGACAGATAAAAGCGTCATTGATTTGGGAAGGGGGATGACTTTTTGTCTGTTTCCTACAATCAGAGCAATCTCACATGATTTTTACTGAAATGATTGACATAGCAATTAGAAATCCGTACTTGCAGAAACTGATATGCAGTGGCTGGGAAGGTGCAATATGAAATCTGCATTGCCTAACACTTGACTGGGATGCATTTGTCCCATTTGGCCTCTGATTGGAATATCTGTGCCAAATACTGAAGTAAACATGAACAATGATTTTCTTTGTTGAAATATCTCAACTTTTGTGGCAGTAGATTTTTCCTCTGCTTACACTGCAGTCCAAAGCAAGGTTATGCCCTTCTAAGCCTGTTGACCTCAGCGGATTTAGAAGAGTGTAACTCTGCTTACGATCGCACTGTTAGTTGGGAAGTAATGTCTCCTGAAGCCTGTGTCTATTTAATGGTCCCCCCACCCTAGTTTTTCTAGATTCACACCCATATTCCAAAAGATCTAATGTGAGCCCGAGAAATTTTTAGTTCCCCAAATAATGAGAAATGGGGTGGTTCAAATGTTTAGATTGAACTGTTCTGCTAGCTAGTGTTGAACTGGTTGAATAATGCCGCTCTTGCTTCTTCCCCCCTCCCTTTAGACTAGTATCTTAAATAAGCATCTTCAAGACCTTATGGAAGGGCTGACCGCCAAGGTATTCCGAACATATAATGCCTCCATTACGTTACAGCAGCAGCTAAAGGAGCTCACTTCCCGTAAGTATCTTTAGACCAGAGCATCTCATCCTTTGTGTTCACTGTGTCTGATGGTGAGCTTAGTATGGATCCAGATCTAAGGGCCTTGGCTGGGAAGTTAGTTACTCTCTCCTTCACTCCCTTTGATTACCAGCAGAGATGGACAGCTTCTGGACTGGGATGCAAAGGTGGGCTCCCTTCCCCTGTTTTATGATTGCCTTTCCAGCCATAACAGAATGGAACATATTCTTGTGCAAATGAAGACCATGTAGATCTGGCTTCCCCTGCCATTTCTGTTGTTGTTTTTCCAAACTTCCTTGAAATTTAATTGCCCAGGACCAATTAAGTTTTAGAATAATTGTTCCATGCTTAACTGAAAGCAGACTTATTATGATGATTCCAAGGTAATTCATGGATATATGAGCCCCATGAGAAATTCTGTTTTCATGTGTTTAAAAAAATAGCTTCTGGCCCCCACCACTATAGGGAAAGCAACTTAGATACACCATGGCATTTCCAGAGGTGGATTTTTGTCAGTGGAATGTGACTTTTTCACTAGCCTGCTCCCACAGCAGCCTACAATGCTGCTCCCGGGAACCAGAGGACCAGAAATGTGCTGGTGGAGGCAAGCCAGCATCTTCATCAACTCACCCCTCACACCCAAGCCTTTAGGATTAATAAGATGCCATTTGAAAGCAACATTTGTATTTTCAAAGCTCTTTACAACTCCCCAGCAAGTAGTACAGACTGCTCTTTTTTACAGAGGGAGGTGATGGAAGCAGTGTCTGTCCACGGTTGTGATGTCAAAGTTCTAAAGAGGAGGACGAAGTGACAAAATTGTCATTTACAGAGAAATTTCTCTGAGAAGCAGGACATCCCTACGGTGTTTCTGTGGTTTATTTTGTGTGCAAATACATCAGCTAAAGGGAAAACAGGAACAGAAAAAGCACTGCTTGTTTTTAAGAGAACTGCAGTTAGTCTTATCTCTGTTATACCATGGTGAAACAAAATGTATAAGAATGGATGTACGTCAGTGTTGTGTAGTAGCTAGAATGACAAAGAAGACCAGTGACCTGGGTTCAAATCTCCACTTGGCCATGGATCGCGCTAGGCCAGTCATCGTCTTTCAGCCTCACGTGCCTCACAAAGTTGTGGTGGAATGGTGGAAGAGATCCACGTTAACTCTCCTGTGCTCCTTGGAAGAAGGGCAAAATAAAATTGCAGTGCAATTTTAATAAATATTTAAGAATGACACAAAAGGTCACAAATCACCAGGAGCATGGCTGAAACTCCAGGCATCCCTTGAAAGGCCTTCTTTCTGTTAAATTTTTACAAGGTTTCAGAATATAAAAATACGCTTAGGGAAACTATAAATATCCAGAGTGAATTCAAGAGGTTAGGTATCCTCTTTAAAGCACTAAGCAGCCTGGATCCGTCTTCCACTGTTACCAAGAGAGCCTGGGCCCAGGCTCCATTAACTTGGAGATCCAGTGTGGTCTAACGGTGCGTGCACCAGACTCTCAGCCTAGCCTGCCTCACAGGATTGTTGTGAGGCTAAAATGGAGGAGAGGAGAACAATGTAAGCTGCTTTGACTTCTTCAGGTAGTGAAGGGTGAGGTATAAACCCAGCCCTTTCTGTTCTCTTCTTCTCCTTCCCCCTTGGGGAGAAAGACCGGGTATATATAGAAAAGAAAAGAAAACAAGCAAAATGAATAAAATTAGATTTTTACTTTAGAGGAGCTGAAGCAGGAGCACATGAGCTGACTTCAGTGGACAAAGAAGACTGGACAATGCCAGGCTTTTCAGATAACAACCTCAGGCATGTCAGGGATTTTAAGGTGATGACCAACCCCTTGAATTGGGCCCAGAAACCAATTAGTAGCCAGTGCAGATGGATATGACTGGATGTGATAGAACACTGCGGCTAGACTGGTGGTCGGGGCCAGCTATCAGGAGCACGTGACCCCAATATTACAGCAACTACATTGACTACTGATCTGCTCTTGAGCCCAATTTAAGGTGTTGGTTTTGACCTTTAAAGCCTTACATGGCTTGGGATTGGGCTATCTGAAGGACCATCTTCTCCCATATGTTCTGCCCAGGAATTAAGATCATAGGGAGAGCCCCTCCTGGCTGTTCCATCAATCAAAGAAGCTTGGTTGGCGGGTACTTTTCAGTGGCAGCACCACAATTATGGAACAACCTCCCTAGGGAGGTGTGCCTGGCCCCCTCACTTGCGATCTTTAGGAGGCACGTTGAAGCCGGTTTTATTTAGGACTGCCATTTGGTTAAGTTTAGTAGCAGTCCTGAGTGGTGATTCTAAATGTTGGTTTTATATTTTCAATGTATTTTATGCTATGTGTTTTATCTATGTTTTTGATCTGCCATGAGCTTTATAGGAAAGAAAGGCAGCAACTAAATATTTTAAATAAATAAATACAGATAAATAGCAGGCAAAATTCTATATGAGCGACACCTCCTAAACTAGCTTCACAGGTAGGCCTCGGCAGAGCACATTGAAGTAGTCTGTAAGCATGGATAACAGTTGCCTCAGAGAGAAGGAGATGGAACCAGCCAAAGCCAATTCAAACATAGTCTTGGGTGCTGCTTAACCCTCCAAGTGGTGAGAGCTGGGTGATCTCAGGTCAGTCATGCACTTTGTCTGATCTACATTACAGGGCAATTAAGAGAATAAAACCTAAGGGTGTGAATCTTGTACACTGCCCTGAACTCCTTGGAGGAAGGATGGAATAAAAATATGACTAGTATCGAAACCCATCTTTTCATACAAAAAGGATTCTGATGGATGGTTCTGAATGGACACAAAATAAGCGAGGGGAAGTGTTGTGTTGCCACAGAATAAGCCTCCAAATGAGCTGTATGCTGTGCTCTGTCCAATTCAACTCTCACTCTGGCCAACTCCTCTCCCTTGAAACCTCATTACACTCAACTGTTGGTTGAATCAAGGAGAGTTCAGGCTCCATTGACTGGTGAGAGAAGTTTAGGAAGAACTGTGACTACAGCTTCAGACAAGTGTTACCATACCATAGTTCAAACAGGCCAGACTCAGAATGTCTAGGCAAGCCAGTCGCTCAGTCCCTTGGAGCATTTTGCAATCCATTAAACTCCATTAGCCTTCAGGAGCAGACCGCTATAATTGGTTGGCCAACCTGGGCCCCCGTAATTTGCATCTTGAGCAAATGATTGATACATGAGAGAGGCAGGTTTGACATGACCTCAAATGCAGATCACTGGCACCATATCATATAAAGACTACACGGTGAAGAATGTGACCTTCAAAATATGTAGAACTATTAACATATTCGGAGGCAGAGGTCATTTCAGGGGGGAACGCAGTTCCCCCGGGTGAGGTGCAGGGGGCGGGGCACATGACAAAGCCCCGCCCCCTGCTTCCGGCCGCCCTGCTTCCAGCCCTCATTCAGCTAGGAGGAGGCAGGAGAAGAGGGAGGGTAAGTTGCTTCCTCCCCGCCTCTCCCCACCCCTGCCTGCCTGGGGCCAGGGAGGGCCTTGGCGGGGCTTCCTCGCACTCCCGCTGGCCTTGCAGGTCCACCGCTGGGCCCCTGATGTCAGGGGGTGTGGCATATGCTAATGAGTTATGCTAATGAGTTCCCCTAGCTCTTTTTCTACGAAATGACCCCTGTTCGGAGGCGTGGCTGTCATGAACTCTTAGCCTATACCAGATTCGGATATTAATTATTCATTGTGCAAATATAAGCACCCTCCTGGATTAGATCAGTTCTGCATCTAGTCCAGCTTCCTGTTTCACACAGTTGCCTGACTGGTTGGGTTGAAGGGCCAACAAACAGAGCAGAGAGGCCAAGGCCTTCCACAGATGCTGCCTCCTGGCACTGATATTCAGATATTTACTGCCTGTGAGTGTCCGGACTCACTGAAGTCACCATAGCTAGCAGTCTTTGATGGACCTATCCCCTATGAAGCCATCTAATATTCCTTTAAAGCCTGTACTTGTAGCCATCACGCCCCCATCATCTTTTTTAAAAAGCTATAAAATTTATACACATGCATGTTTGTGTGAATGAGCTTGCAAGGTAGCTAAGTGGTATTATCCTGAACAGATGGGAGGCTGGGGAAATGGTGACGTCAAAAGGAGCCTACTGAATTTATGGCAGAAATTAGATTTCACAAGTAGTCCTGATTTTTAGTTCTTTCGGCCGCTATGTTAGACAAGCTCAGTTCTCTCTCTCTTACTGACTCACACACACAACATTATGAGAATAAAAAAGAATCCATGAGAGTTTGACCTTGTCACATGGAAATTCCATTTTCACATGTTTGTTTTCAATTCTTCCAGCGGATGAGAACATCCCAGCAAAAATCCTTTCTTACAACCGTGCCAATAGAGCTGTCGCTATTCTCTGCAACCACCAGAGGGCACCTCCAAAGACCTTTGAAAAATCCATGATGAATTTACAGACGAAGGTAACTGGCTGTTTCACCTTCATTTATAAGCCAAACGAAAAAGAATCCACTTCAGTTCTCTTTGTTCCTTAATCAGCTGCTGTTGGGCTCTTTCCTCTAGGGGGCTTGCTCCACCAGTGAAGCTTGTTTCTGGGACTTCTGGAATGAGAATCCTGTTTGTTTTTTATGACAGAAAATTCTTCTGAAGGAAATTTTGATTTCTTCCAGTCCTTCCCTTTCCCACCAAAACAGATTGAACGCTGTCTTTTCCATGTGCACATCAGGCTGCATCATGTTCCGTTCAGTTTATTAGGTTTAAAAGCCTATAGGCCATACACCATAAAAATTAATTTAGACTTTTAAAAGATTTTAGACATTTAAAAAGACAGTGTAACAGGAATGTGCCACATCTGTTATACAATTATGGCACAGAGTACTCAGCAAACGTCTCAACCTTGTAGATTCCGAAAAGGAAGAAAATTTTAATAACCATTTCCTCAGGAATTTTTCTCTCGCAATTGCATGTTTTGGGCAACAGAAAAATATATGATCAAGTGTGCCCATAGTTGCTAATGGGCAGTCACAATAATGTTGGCTTGCTGGGATGCCCTGACAACAACCCTTCATCTGTGCAGGTGGAAATGCATTGCAGTGTGCCACCATATATGCACTTCTCAACGTAGACTGCATCATATGTATGGCAGATTACCTTCTAAACCTGAAGAAATTTTAACATTGGGAATAATTTACCTTCTGGGAGAAAAATGTTCTCTGATGTTACGCTATAGCTTTCTGTCCCAGTTAGGGAACTAAAATAATTTCCCAGTGTCCTCAAGAAAAAGAGAGAATCCCTCTCAGCCTGCTTATCAGATATACCATAGATCACGTTCAGTTCAATAACCAATCTGATTGGGGGGGGGGGATGACTCACATCCAATCCCAACATCGAAACTATTAAAACTTCACAGTTATACCTAGTAGTGTACAACATCATTTACAGCTGCTTTTCATCTCTTGCTGCTTTTCATCTACATTGCTGCTTTTGTTGATTTCTACGGGTTGTGTTTATTTCAGTCTTTTTTTTTTGCTGACTTTTAAAAAAAAAGTATCATGAGCTGCTTCAAAAAACCCTCAAGGTACAAGTACTTGAAACTAAATATAAAAACTCTTTGCAGGTTAAAAAAACCAAAACCCTAAATGTTATGGAGAGTGGCTTCTTTCTCCTTGGCATACTAGTTTGCTATATGCAGAGATTTTTTAAAAACAAAACGTTTGCCCATGCAGCCTCACCTTCAGTGTGACATGGGTTAAATCCAAGAACAGTTTTGCCACGGTCTAATTCTTCTGAGATGTTTTCTGTAGTCTCCAACTTGTGGCCTAAAAGGAATCCATGAATGATGCCTGTGTCAACCACTGATAACTGGAGGATGCTGTTGAGGCCTTTTCTAAGAGAGAGCCAGAAGGCGATTAGCCCCTTCCCTCCACCCACCCACCTCAAGTTGTAAACCTCAGTACAGTTCAGCATCTGTTTGTATTTCACTCCTCTAACTCACCCTTTTCCTTTTCAGGTTATTTCTGACAAAAGCCATGAGGTCAATGTGGTTAGGTCGGTTTCCAGCCTGAATCTGAAATAACCCTCTCTATAAGGCGGTCGGTTTTATTAATCACTGGGGTGGTGTTTTGGCTTTCATAATACCTAACTTGGCTGTTTCAGTTGTTAGGACCTACAGCTCTGACACAGTGATAATGACTTGGCTGCCTTCTCTTGCCCCTCCCCACGAGTCGTTTGTCCAGTTATTGTCAGAGGAGTTGTAGAGTCTGTTAGGAACAGCTTAGGTAAATAGAGCTGTACACCCCTGTCCTCCACTTCAGAGCTCTGCTTAGCCAGCCATAGACTGCAAAAACCTCACTCTTCATTCCTCCACCATAAAATCATTGCTGGATGAGCACAAGAAATTTCCTGATGTGACCTAATACAGCACATCTGAGTCTTGACAGTGTTCCAGCTACTTGGCTGTATTACCTTTTGTGCTTTGCCAAATCATACTATACCACATGTCCACTGAAATCCAATATTCGTATGATTATAGACTTTGCTTTGTTTAGTTGTACATTTGAATCTTATTGAGCTCCAAGGTTTTTATCCCCCCCCCCAAATTAATATCGTTAAAGTGTAGCCTGTATCTTTCCCAGGGTTCTGCCCATTGCTTTGAAATGCTTCATTCCATTCTGCTGGCTGAATACAAAAGACAACGTCTCTGCCTTTATTCTTAAATGGTTATTGGAGCACCTACATGTAAAATCCACAGACATACAACTTGGATGGGGGAAAGGATGCTCCATTAGTTCTAACTTCAGATGGTATCTTCTGGTGTACCATCTGTTTGGGCTAGATAAGAGGCTTTTGATTTGTGCAGAACTAATACTTTGCATCTTAAACTTGGTATCTTTCCAATACATCTGGTACAACAAAAGATGCCATGTTAAAACTTTTGGCACCTAGTAAATAACTTTGCAGGTTCTCGGTCTGGCAGTGCACACTCATGGACTTATTATATCCTGAGTGTGTGCTGGAAAGATCTCTTCTAAGGTAGGTGTCTAGAATCCTGCTAGTCACTTCTACAAGCTTGACTCTTGCATGCTTGTCTAGAAATAGGAGTCCTGGCCAGTTTGTCTATGAAACTTTTATTTTATTAATAAGGTTACGAAGAAGGACTTTGGGAAATGCAGTGCAAAAGTTGCTTTTGGGTGGACAAACATTCTGTCAAACATTTTTTATCAGCTGTTTGCGGTTTTGTTAGCTTTACTCCTTCCATAGTCTTACTTTGTTCGATTTCCCCCCTCCCCTTTTTGCCTTCCCTAGATTGATGCCAAGAAGGACCAGTTGGCTGACGCCAGGAGAGAACTGAAAAGCGCCAAAGCTGATGCCAAGATCCGGAGGGACGAGAAGTCTAAAAAGTAAGTCTGGCTGCTGCTATCTGTGCATGCATGGAAGTGGTTCAACAAGGTGCAGCCTTTTTCAAAAGGAGATCTCCCTTTGAATTGTTGCTGTCCTTTGAATACTCTTCTGTAGGTTTGTGATTCATTCACTTTCCTCGTGCCACTTCAGATGAACCCCACGTGTCTTGACTATAAGTAGCCTTTAATGGGCATGGTGTGGGGAAAGGGTTCACAAGGCAACCTGGGAGACATACCATGACCTATCAGGGCTGTAGTTATCTTGCATGTTTCAGCTGCATTCATTAACCATGTGGCTCTCCAAATACAGGGGCTGACTGGGCATGTTGCATTTATTTTGACAGACAGGCCTCAAGTAAATTCAGCTCTCGTAAATTGTATTTATCTGCACATTTTCTTTGGGTTTGAATTGTTCTTCCCTTTCTGGGGAAGAACATTTTTGGTCTTGAGCCTGTGTGCCTTCACGTTTTCATCTTTATTAGGAACTTTTCCCTTAAACAAGAGCTCAGATGTATGCGAGTCCATGGGTCACATGTATGTTCCCCTGAAACTGGTACTCAGAGCCCTGGCCTAACTGGTGCAGAACCAAGGGAAGTTCTAGGGGGCATTTTGTGTTGATGGGGAGTTGGGGGATTTCTTGAAGGAGCAATGAGAGAGATAAGGTGGTGCCAACTCAGGAGCAGTGCCTTTTTCACTGCTGTCAGCCTGGGCAGTGCTGCCTCCCATTTGGGTCTGATAGCAGCATGTGAGGCACCATTTTTAAGCTGGCACATGCTGGCGGCCAGGTGGAATTAGCTGGCAGGCTACAGTCAGAACAGACAGTCTGAGCTGGATAGATAAGTTGTCAGGCAACATAAGGCAGCTTCATGTTAATATATGTGCATTTGTGACAGTCCTGTGGAACTTCACAATAGACATTTGGGGAACATGTAACAGACCATCAATTCCAATTTCTGCCTGATCTTCTTCGTGGTCTCTGTGCTTCACACCAATGGGATCTAGTGCGCCTGCGCTGGATCTGCCGGTGCCTAGCAAGCTCTTCTAGAAGGATTTTCGTGCCTGGCCCAACTGAGCATGCCCAGGAGCCCCAGTGAGCATGCTCAGAAGGGCAGGCACGGACATCCCGCCAGTTCTTTCCTTTCCGCCGCGCTGAGCAGACCTGTCTTCGAGAGGTCTGGCCGGATCGCTGCCTTTTGATCACTTTTAGTGACTAGCTCTCCGTTTTCGCCTTAGTTTTTCATCAGTTTCGTTTCCTTTTTCTGTTTTCCAAAAAAAAAAAAAGGAGTCTTTTTGTTTTTCGTCGTCTGAGGTAAAATTACCTCAGGCCTTCGGGCTGCTGGCCCACCCCCACCCCCCCACCCTCCTTGTTGTTAGCTTTTTCTCCTCAGTCTATGGAGAAGAAGAAGACAAAAAGGTCGAAAAAGTGGGGAT